TGTGTGTCTGTGTGTGTGTGTGTGTGTCTGTGTGTGTGTGTGTGTGTCTGTGTGTGTGTCTGTGTGTCTTTATAAGACCCAGGTTTGTTGGCACTCCTCCTCATAATATTTATTTATTTAAAAGAATTAATGAAGACAAATCCACCTGGATCACAGCTAATGAGACTGTTTAAGGTCAAGGGAATCTGTGTTTATTTAATAAAAAAAGACTATTTTATTCTATTTCCATAAAAATGACAAAACACAGCTGATTACGTTCAGCTGCTGAGGGCTGGGTTAGAGGAGGAGGAGGAGGTTTTCTCCTTCAGTCCACAGAACCAGGCAGGCTGGAGGTCAGGAAGTCTGTTCAGATCTGTTCCAGGATGTGTAAGTGGGGGCCGGGGGGAGCGCTGTGTTTTAATTCTGCTATAGATTTGAACTATGTTACCTTCAGTTATAAAAGCTGCATTTATCAAAAATAAATGTGACTTTTCAGGATTCGTTTTACCAACGGACCACTGGTTATTTGTAATAATTACAAATTGTCTGTGTTGTTAACTGAAAATGTGGACGATGACAACAGAATCTCAGCTTAGCCTGTTAGCTTTAGTGCTAGCACCAACACTATCACCGAATACAGTGGTGTGAAAAAGTGATTGCCCTCATCCTGATTTCCTGATTTTTTTGCATGTTTGTCGCACTTAAATGTTTCAGAACATCAAACCAATTTAAATATCAGTCAAAGACAACACAGGTAAACACAAAATGCTATTTTTAAATGAAGGTGTTTATTATTGAGGGAGGAAAAATATCCAAACCTACATGACCCTGTGTGAAAAACTGATTGCCCCTCTTGTTAAAACACAACACCTGAGTCCTCTGTCTCTGGCCACACCCAGGCCTGATTATCTCCACACCTGTTCTCAATCAAGACATCACTTTAACAGGACCAGCCTGACAAAGTGAAGTCCACCAAAAGATCTTTAAAAGCTACACATCATGCCGAGATCCAAAGAAAACACGTTATGATACACTGTAAAAAAATACAATAAAGGGAGACGTATTCTTATACAAAATTTGGAAAAAATTAAAATAAGGTACAGACTATCAGAAGTACTAGGGATACAGAGAAGCTATCCATTTATAATCCAGTTTTTACAAAGTGCTAAGTTATCTGGAAGGATATAAATTAATTAACCAGTTATAGAATTATTAGTTGTTGTTTTTTTTAAAGAATCTTCAGCCACACTCCTTACCAGTTGGTGGCGGTAATACACCATTAAGTTGATTGTCAACCACCAATAAATAACAGAAGAAGAAGAAGAAATTCAGGAACAAATAAGAAAGAAGGTCATTGAGATCCATCAGTCTGGAAAGGGTTATGTTTCCAAAGCTTTGTGAATCCAGTGAACCACAGTCAGAACCATTATCCACAAACGGTGAAGACATGGATCACTGGTGAACCTTCCCAGGAGTGGCCCGCCGCCCAAAATTACTGCAAGAGCGCAGCGACAACTCATCCAGCAGGTCTCAAAAGACCCAGAACAACATCCAAAGAAGTGCAGGCCTCAGCTGCCTCAGGTAAGGTCAGTGTTCATGTGTCCACCATCACAAAGAGACCAGGTAACAAAGGCTTAGACAAAAACCACTGCTGAGCAAAAAGAACATTAAAGCTCGTCTCAAGTTTACCAGAACACATCTTGATGATCCCCAAGACTTTTRGGAAAATATTCTTTGGACAGATGAGACAGAAGTTGAACACTCAGGAAGCTGTGTGTCTCAGTACATCTGGTGTAAAATAAACTCTGCATTCCAGAAAAGAACATTATACCAACAGTAAAACATGGTGGTGGTAGTGTGATGGTCTGGGACTGTTTTGCTGTGATAAATATTTAAATCGGTTTGATGTTGTAAAACATTTAAGTGTGACAAACATGCAAAAAATCTGGACATCGGGAAGTGGGCAAACACTTTTTCACACCACATATTAGCTCAGCTACACATTCTCCTCTGGTCACTGAGGTCCTCCATCCACGACAGAGAGGAGAAGGTAGAAACAACTCAGCCTACAGCTGAAAATATGGATGGAGGACCTCAGTTTAGCTYGTTAGCTTTCACGCTWGCATTGAGCTAATACATATAAGGCAATATAGTGTTGGCACTAAAGCTAACAGGCTAAGCTGAGGTTCTTCTTCCATGAAGCAGCTCTGTTGTCCTGCTGTCCTCAGGTGGAGCTGACCGGCAGCAGTGCGTTTGACTACATCCACCCCGGGGACCACGTGGAGATGGCCGAGCAGCTCGGGATGAAGCTTCCTCCAGGCAGAGGCATGTCTCTGTCCCAGGGAGCGGCCACTGAAGACGGGACGTCCTCAGCTTCATCGTCCTCTCCCTCTGAGACACCTGAACCAGGTAGGAACCRACAGACTAAGGTCTGGACTGACTGACCCCAGCAGATGGTAACAGGGAGAACAGAAGAGTTTATTAAAGAAAAGTTTGTTTTCAGTGGATCTGAAATGACTGCAGCTTATTGTTCTACTTTTTGACTCGTTTAACACAAGCTGTGTTTCCATTRCAAATGTGCACAAAACTTTGTCAATATTCTGTTAATGTTGAAAAAAAAACAGTTTCACAWCTGCAGWGTTTCCATTAAGTAATAAATGTTATTAAAGTCACGTGAATACGTTTGTTCTCATGATAAGTCATTACAAACATGGCAGCGATGGATGTAAACACATAGCATGTTGCTACCACGACACTAGCGCTCATCATCAGAGGAGACGTCGGCGTCTTTTATCGAGGCTTTCCAGAGACAAGTCCCTACTTGGGAGCGGCTACGTATGCTGTGTTTTTGGGAAATTGTAGTCGGTGAGTTTACTATTTTATACTACTTCTGTGATATTACTACTACTTCTACTTCCTGTTATCTTCTTCATCATCGTCTTTTTCACCAGTAGAAACAGACGGTTGTTGATCACGTGACTCCTGTGATGTGAAAAAAGGGTTTCCATTGCAGTTTTGTGAAAAACACCAATTTAGATACGGCTGAAAAACCACCTCACCCTAGTTCAAAAACATTTTGTCAAAAAACGTAAATTTTTTTTACTGACGTGTTTCCATTGAGTAAATTTATTTTTGAAATTTTAATTTGTGCATTTTCATGGTGAATGGAAACACAGCTACTATTTTTAAAGATTCCAATAAAAATAAAAGCTGAAGTGTAATGAAGTTGGGAGGTTTGTTCTACAAAGACAAGATGTTTCATGTTGAAACTAACATTTGTTTTACCTGCTGCACTTCCTTAGCTTTTAGCTGTGGTTTTGCTCCTTTTAGTTCAGCTTATTTTAGCTTGTTGCTCATGTTGAAGTGTTGTTGGTTCTGTGACCCGTTCAGGGCTGAACAGAACCCTGAACAGAACCGTCTGTCTTTTTGTCTCTCCTTCATCATGTCCTCTGATGATTGTTTCAAAGTGCCGTCTCTCTGATGGAGGACAGTGTCCTCTGTGGGACTCTTTGTCTCGTCTGCTCCGCCACATGTTCAAGACTTTTTACCTTTCAAATCCTTTCCATTGTGCTCCCCCCTCCCTCCCTCCCTCCCTCTGATAATTTAAGCATTAGGGCAAAATCCATTTATAAATTAAACAAAATGACTTGATATCCATCAAGTCCCTTAGTTCATCAGCCTGTTCAAACAAGGAGTTGAAGATTGGCTTTGCGGCGGCCGGGGTCTTCGGAGACGACGCAGTAATTAGATCTGCCGCGGATTTATTCTGGGCTGATTGGTGCTGCTGATGGGTGGGTGTGGGGGAGGGACGGGGCGTTTAAATTAATTGGAGTTCCACATTTGAGGTTTCTGTTCTTTTTTTTTTTCCTCTTTGACTTTCTGCAAACCTCTAACTGAGCCTCTGTGCACTGAGCTGGAGCTGCAGGGAGGGGGGGTGAGAGGACATCTGTGTGGTCATCAGAGTCAATTTGTCTCCAAAGAAAGATCAGAAATGTAAAACTCAGACAAACGTTTCCCCGTGCTCATTCTGTCTAAAGATGAGAACTATTCAAACAGAGCAGAGTCTTCAGGTTCCCTCACAGATTTATACCCAGTCTGAGAGACACCAGAGTCTGCGTGTCCACAGAGACACAGGGACATGTCTGAGGGTTTAACGAGCTTCATTTATTGTCATGGAAACCAGAGACACCAGGCCGAGGTCTCAGATACAAACGTGAGGATAAAGTGATCAGTCAGAGGAAATACATCTGAATAAAATGTTTGTCAGGAAAACTCTAGAATTAGATTAAAACTCTAAAAGTAACAATTAAAACTCTAAAATTAACGATTAAAACTCTACAATTAAAGATTAAAACTCTAGAATTAAAGATTGAAACTCTAGAATTAAAGATTAAAACGCTAGAATTAAAGATTAAAACTCTAGAATTAAAGATTAAAACTCTAGAATTAAAGATTGAAACTCTAGAATTAAAGATTAAAACTCTAGAATTAAAGATTAAAACTCTAGAATTAAAGATTAAAACTCTAGAATTAAAGATTGAAACTCTAGAATTAAAGGTAAGATTCTAGAATTAAAGATTAAAAGTCTACAATTAAAGATCAAAACTCTAGCATTAAAGATTAAAATTATAGAAATAAAGGTAAAACTAGAATTCAGACGTCTTTAAATCAAAATATTTCAGCTTCTGTACATGAAATGAAAAACTTGACAGATTCTGTGACGTTAAGCTGGCCAGCTGTCAGGTTTTTACAAACTAATTATTATTTATTCACCTTTAAAGATCAGAAAATAAATTAAAATAAATGCAGCTGCAGAGGAYGAGGGTGGTTCATGTTTTCCCTGCTGGGGGGCGATGCTTCTACAAACTGTTTCAGCTCTTAGATGCATGTAGCATGTAGGTCGGTTCTGTTAAACCTGGTCCTGAAGCATCAGAACCTTTTCTGGATCCTCCTTTAGTAGTGGTATCAGAGGAGTCGGTCCAGTTTTATAGCCGAGCTCCTAAAATGAGCTGTGGTTCATTAAAAAAAACTATTTATAATATCGTTAAAGTGAAAGTTCAAACCTTTATAGCTTGTTTGAACCTGTTGGTGAGGACTAAGACTAAAGACCCCCCTGAGGCCCATAAAGACCCAGGTGGAGGACCAAGAAGATCTGCAGGAATCACTTTAGATTAGATTGTTAAAGATAATTTCTTTATGGTCATTACGAGAAATAAAAATGATTGTTATCAGCAGGTTGGAAGGCTGTTTGAACTGACTAAGATTGGTGTCTCACCCAGTGATGGGGGTGGGGGGTACAGGTTAGCTGAAAGTCTAGAAACCACAGACCACATAAAGTTCTGCACTGTTGTTCCAGCTCTAATGTAGCACTTCCTGTTCAACATGGATCACTTCCTGTTCAGACTGGGTCACTTCCTGTTCAGCATGGGTCACTTCCTGTTCAGCATGGGTCACTTCCTGTTCAGACTGGATCACTTCCTGTTCAGACTGGATCACTTCCTGTTCAGACTGGGTATTTTCCTATTCAGCATGGGTCACTTCCTGTTCAACATGGGTCACTTCCTGTTCAACATGGGTCACTTCCTGTTCAACATGGGTCACTTCCTGTTCAGATTGGATCACTTCCTGTTCAGATTGGATCACTTCCTGTTCAGACTGGGTCACTTCCTGTTCAGACTGGGTCACTTCCTGTTCAACATGGGTCACTTCCTGTTCAGACTGGGTCACTTCCCGTTCAGACTGGATCACTTCCCGTTCAGACTGGATCACTTGCTGTTCAACATGGGTCACTTTCTGTTAAGACTAGATCACTTCCTGTTCAACATGGGTCACTTCCTGTTCAACATGGGTCACTTCCCGTTCAGACTGGGTCACTTCCCGTTCAGACTGGGTCACTTGCTGTTCAACATGGGTCACTTCCTGTTAAGACTAGATCACTTCATGTTAAGACTGGATCACTTCCTGTTCAGAATGGATCACTTCCTGTTCAGACTAGGTCACTTCCTGTTCAGACTGGGTCTTTTCCTGCTGTATAAATGATGTGGTGTTACTTTGATGGCGGTGAAGGTTTCAACATCTGGGAACATTTTAAGAGATAAACTTCAGCTGCGGTCAGAAGGAGCTATCCTCAACAGGTAAGATATTTGTTCATAACTTCTTTGCAGAACTGGACTTGAAAACATCTGAACTACAGTTTTAAGCCCAGCTGTCTGTAAAATTACTTTCAAAACAAAAGCAGGCTTTTATTTATTAATTTTGTCACATTTTTCTATGATGTAATAAAACTCAGAAACATTTTCAGTCTAACAGTCCTGTTTCTGCAGCCTGGCTGTTTTCAGCCAATCAGAGCAGCCCTTTCTCCCAGCATGAGGTCAGTTTATTGTTTGATCCAGCTGCCTCAGGTAAATGAAGAAGTTATTAAGTTGTAGCTCTTTGGCTGCTGTGATGTAATCCATCAGAAACTTGGGCTCCATCAGTTTAATTAGGCTGGCTCTCATAAAGAAGTGAACCCAGAGTTAAAACCTGAAACGACCTTGGAGGAGACRAGCTCCTTTGAAGCTCCACGCCTCTCGCCAACACCCTCTTTCACTTAAAGAGACTCATCTTTAAAAGCACATGACGCAATTTGTCTAATATCCATCAAACGGAGGCTGAGAGGCTCCAACTGTTCTGAAGGATGAGTGCTTGAAATGATTTCTCATGAGTGTAACGGGAAGGAAGCTCTGATTTCTGCTCACTTTGCTCTTATCGCTCGTATTATCAGCTCGGGTCACGGAACGGTTCTCCGCTGCCTGTTGACTTTCAGCAGAGAACCCGGAGGAGACAGAACTCAGACTATCTGAGAACAAAGTCTCATCAAGGTGAAGGATTTAAACACATCCTCACTTTGATTCTCCTGAGACGACTTCCTGATGATTCAGACCCACAAAAACAGGTTGTTGAATAAAATATCACACAAAACATGAATAAACTCTCTTAAATAAGTCTTTGAAGGAATGCAGATCACCTAACGTCTTTTGTACCAAAGTTTGACACAAAGTTGTTCAACAATGTTTAGTTTCCTGAATGTCTTTGTTTTTCTTCGTTCAGACACTAAAAGCTTTATTAAACCCACCTGTTCAGGTGTTTTTTGACACAAACATCTGATCAGCCAATCAGACAGTAGACATGAAGACCACCTGCTGAAGGTCAGACTGAGCATCAGAACCGTGGTTTTGCTCTCAGGGTTTCAGAACCTGCTGAAACATGAAAGGCAGCAGGTGACRTGCATTTTACACAGRTCACCGTGTGTTGGTGAACCATGGTGTTTATTTTTACTGGACAAACTGGTTTCTGAAGCTTCTGTTAAGTTTTATTTAAATTTTTGATGTGATGTGGCTGAAATGAAACCAGAAACCAACTGCAGGTCC